ATTGTTGCCGTCAGTTCTTGGTGGTCTTATATACAAGAATACCGTACATCTAGTAAACACTCGAGGCTTCAAGAAGGGACATGAATGTTCTAGAAGCGCCTGACGTGTTACTAGCGTCACGTGACCTCCGCTGTCGTAACAATATATATATATATAACTCTGTGTACATAATCTTAACGACTAATGCAGTGTTCCCCAAAGTGGGAGCTGTGCCCTCCCCCCTGGGGGCCGTGAAGCTTTTTTTGGGAGGCTGCCAAAAAATGGGCCGAAAACAAAGATACCGAATTAGTTTTAATTCTAAATAAACAATAAGCCGATAAACATTAGGTTGAATTAATTAATTTACAGGATTGCTTCATATTTTAAAACGAAAATAAGATACCCTTACATAAAATTAATTGTGTATTTAATTGCTCATAAGTTTACAGATTTAACCCAAACATAATAAATTGCTAATGGTCTAATTATAATACTTATAAACTGATAAGAAAAGGCCACATCAAATTACAAACATACAATTTTATAGAAAAATTACTTCACAGATATCATTAAATTTCATTAGTAATTAGCCCCCCAGTGGCTCAGCGGTATGTCTGCGGACTTACAACGCTAGAAACCGGGTTTCGATACCCGTGATGGGCAGAGCACAGATAGCCCTTGTGTAGCTTTGTGCATAATTAAAAAAACAAACAATTAGTAATTATTTTTTTTAAATTGATAAATCACATTTTAAGGTATTTTTATTCACATCAAGGGAGTCTCAGACTGAAAGAGTTTGGGAATCATTGCTATAATCTCTAAATACATAAAAGTTGAAACTACTTTCTCTGTTTACTAAAAAACTGAAACGCCTTAAAACTATACCACGTGTGATTTAATATCAATTTTAGTTCATATACTATATGGGTATCACCAGGAATTTTTCAGACGATGGGCTAAAGGGTAGAGTCGTTTCTTAAATCAATAATACATATAGGAATGTAGGTCAAACTAAGCTATGAGTCAGTCGAAGTTCAGTACATTGTCTGTGTCAAGGTTCATGCCAGATTGAAGAAACATATTAGCAAACGAAAGGGTTTGTGAATATAAAATTGTAATGCTATTTTTTCTCAAAACTATATTAAATTCCCTGTGACCGTCAAAATGCAGTCAGTCGAGGTGGATAATTGTTCGCATACTCCTTCATCGTTAAAAACGTACGTTTTATAACATGTTTAAAACGTATAGTAACTATTATTTCTAATAGATGTCGCTAACATGCTACATCTAACAAAGTAAAATATCATGTATAGTGATACCTGAAATTATA